ACACGGGCGGAACCAAAACACGGGCAGGACTAAACACGGCTGTGTTCCCGACCGTGTTTCTGCCCCTGCTCGGGTATAAGTATATTTTGTGCGATTTTTGAGGGGAGAGAGCTGGGTTTTGGATCCCAAACACCCAAGGGACGAACCAAAGAGAGATAAGGCAATTTGAGGGCACTCTTGGAGTGGAGTTGGAGGATTTCTTTTCCTTGGAAGCTCAAGGAATAAGCCCGGACTTGAAGACTGATCATGAAGATTCTTACTGCAGTCTCTCTCTTCTCTATAGAGTAACTTCCCTTCACTTAGGTTTTGAGGAACCCTAGCCATGTTTGTTTGATTGGATGATTGTATGAGTACTCTTACTTGATAATCTTGAGTTCATATTCAATCTATGCATGTTTTCATGATTCAATTCTGCTTTAGTCGAGATTATTGATTCTGCTTTGATCCTATGAGAGCGAATACCTAATTAGGTCAATAGAGCACCATAGATTGATAGTATTGGATTGATTGATTTAGTTGAGGGTTTATTCAATGTTTTGTATCGATTGAGAACCTCATTCGATAGAGGGAGTCTAGTTCAGAACGCCTTGATAAGTTGTTCTAGAGAAGGATACGTCCCTCTAGGCAATTGACTCAAGAGGGCCTTGTTCCTTTAGTCGAGACTCAAGGTCTAGTTAAGAATTTTCCGCATTGTGAATGAAAGTGAAATAGATTAGAGATCATCAATCATTAATCTGGCTAGTGGCTAGGGGGAATCATACCTAAGTGAGTTCCCAACCTGTAATTAGATTAGCTTTAACTGTAGTTTGCTAGAGTAGTTTTAGTTGTTCTATCTTAATCTGGTTTGCTAGATAATGAAATGAAGCTGAGTAATAGTAACTCTAGAGACCCTTGGATTTGATATTTATTACTTGAGCCACACTACTGCAGTCCCTTTCATTGGTTACAATTGGCCTTTGTTAGGAGTTGTGTCATACCGTGTCAAGTTTTTGGCCCCGTTAGGGACTTTCTAGATTATTAGGAAAGGCAGAAGTTTGTTAATTTAGCTTTTCTTTCTGTTGTTTTTCTTTTCCACCCTTGCTTTTCACTTGGGTATTTTTGTTTTTGTTGGTGCAGATCTGCAACATGGATCCTCGTGGCTTCTCCAACCATTTGGGGTATCCACCACCATCCGAGTGGTATTACCCCGAGACTTCTTGGAGCAATCAAGGAGAAAAAGACTATGGATTTGGTTTCCAGTACCAACCCCCTTACTACGGAGAACAATCAGACCCCTGGGCATATCAAGAACAACCTCCTTATCAAGAAGAATTTCTCCCACAACCAGAAGGGCCATCGGAGCTGGAGTTAGCCATGGCGGCCTTCACGAGCCATTCTGCAGAGCCATGATACACTCCACGACCAGATCCAAACTATGAATTGAGGCTTCTCGTGGAGCAATTTGCTCGAGACACTGAGAGATCATACTCCAAGATGGATCTTGTACCCAGGTCTATCGTGAAACAGAGGAGATCCTCCTGAGCATTAAGAAGAGCCTCGAGGATCTTGAGAAATCTTATGCACAGCCTGCTCAAGATCACCCTTCTGCTACTATACTAGAGGAGGAGGAGGAAGACAAAGGCTACGAAGACATTATGGAGCAGACAGAAGTTGTCACGGAGAGCTCCCGTGATGATCATGATCAAGAATGTCATCTTGTAGCCGACCACACCTTCCCACATCCCACACAGAGCTTTGAAGAGTCGGGCATGAGTGAGGAGATGCAAGATGATCTCATCAAAGAAATTGCTTGGCAACTTGCTCTCCAATCCGTGCTAGAAGAAGAAGAGCAATAAAGGGTGCAGAAATAAGTTGTGGAGGATGACGAAAGTGAAGCAGAAGGAGTTCTTGATCCTTTCCCAGGGGTGATACCACATTTTGAAGAAGGAAGAGGGGTTGAAGGAGAAATTGGTGTCTAGGCTAAGGGTGAAGTTGAGGTGGAACAGGCTTGCACAGGCCATGAATTACATGTAATATCTCCACCAAACTTCGAGAAGCTGCTAGGCAAGGACCCATTTGCAGTGTCTCTTTTCCAAACCAAGGCCACACCAACATCCATCCCTCTTGGTGGATGCGATGGAGGTCAATCAATGTTTTCCTACATGGTGTGGGGCAATGAGACACGAAAAGAAGAGAAGAAGAGGTCTCGAGGGTTGAGACTTCATCTGAATCGAGTACACGAGTCTGCATCACCTGCCACACCACATGCTCGTGACTTGAGACTCCACCTCATCGACGAGAACCTCAACTTCAAAGAGGTTTTGGGATGGACTGAAACTTAGGAGCCATCGTCCGGCTCATGACGTGAAAGAAGCGCTTGTTGGGAGGCAACCCAACTAGTCGGTTTGCATTTCTTTCCCTATTTCTCCTCGGTTGAGTCAGTTTTATTCTTTTATTTTAGAGTCAATAACTCAACCTTTGTGAGATTTTGTGTGGTGTTTGTGTTCCGACTACTCTCTCCTCTTGGAATCCACCGCCTGCTCCGTCCACCATCATTCACACCTGATCTGGTAACTTCGTTCTACCCTCTTTTTCTTTCCTCCATTGAGGACAATGTCGTGCTTAAGTGTGGGGGGGATGTTCGATTATATATTCGTGTGAATGTTAGGCTGTATGTGTGTGCTTGGAGCCTAGTCCACTGTCCAATTTTTAAAATTTGAGGGCTCCAAGAACGTATCCCTTGCAAATTTCCTGCTCAGTGTGCTTTGAATTGACAGCCTTTATAGTACTATGCAACCTAGGAAGGTAGTTGTAGCACTATGGATGATGTTGAAGTATAAGATTTTTCATATCTGTCTCCTTGCTGTGCCGGTTGATTCTGTGAACTAGTGGCTTTAGGACCTTTGATTCATGTGATATGGATGACTTCCGTTGTGCTTGGACTTTTGTATCATGAGAAGGTGCTCAGTGTACTTAATGAAACGCAGTTGGTCCCCCATGGCAATAATCTGACATCTTAAACATGGGGTAAGCCCAACGTGTGTGGCACCGTTCATTGCACAAAATCGGGGTTTGGAAGAGATTTTAGTGATCCTTAGTGGGGTACTCCTACAAGGTGAAGCTAAGTTGTCTCTAGTACAAGTAAAATTTCCACCCGTTGAACGGTTTGCCTACTCGAGGATGTGTTTTTAAGAGCACGGATAGAGCTTCCGACCCCCTTAATTTCATTGACCCTCCGCACGAATTGAGGAAAAGGAGTTAAAAGAAGTACTCTGGCGAGTGACTTATGTACAGAAATTGCTCTTGCTAAACCAATAAGGGTCGACCGCGCATAACTGCAGTTGGAACCCTAATAGTAAATGAAATGAATGAAAAAGAAAAAGAAAAAAAAATTGAGAAAAAGGGGTTTCAACAAATGAAATGAAATGAGAAGAGAACCTGATACAAGAGTCCACGTTTGTGTGTGTTGTGTGAGTCTCTTTATCCATGAATTGTATGTCCTAGGTCTACTACTTCGCCTGATCCTGGTTTGAGTCTAGTATTCGCATTGGGAGAGATAAGGGACGTCTTAGAAAACCGATTGACCTCGTAAGCTTCTAAATGATCTAGGAAGTCCGCTACCGACGATCGGGGATGCATGTTGCTATAAAGGTCTGGAGAGTTGCATTGCTTTGAGTCAGGTTTGCTTGAGGACAAGCAAACGGTTAAGTGTGAGGGATTTGATGACTCGATATTTGCACATGTTTTCCCCTTTGTTTCTTGGTCGTTTAAGCTTGCATTATCGCTTCTTTGGCCTATTTTACACTAGGTTGGGTTCCTTTGTCACATTTTAGGTCCTAGTGAGTAAAGGGAAGCGTAAGCGCAAGTTTCAAGTCAATCGGAGATCAATTGGCGGTTAAAGGAGAAGAAACTCGGGCATGACCTGAAGAAGAATGGATTTATACCTCATTTATGTACAAAGAATCATGAAAGATTGTCATGAAAAGAAAGAGCACGAGACTACGAGCTTCTGGGATCAAACGACGATTGATTCGGAGTCCGGACGAGGGAGAAACGAAGCATTGAATATAGGGGAATAGGTTCGGCGGAAGAAACACGGACAGACTGCCCTCAGAACACGGTCGTGTTTCATCTGGCACCTGCCAGTGTTTTTTATGCGGAGCCTCTCTTGTGAAGGCAGCTGAAGGGATTCAAAACACGGGTGGACCAAAACACAGGCAAGACTAAACAGGGTCATGTTCCCGACCGTGTTTCTTACTTGATAATCTTGAGTTCATATTCAATCTATGCATGTTTTCATGATTCAATTATGCTTTAGTCGAGATTATTGATTCTGGTTTGATCCTATGAGAGCGAATACCTAATTAGGTCAATAGAGCACCATAGATTGATAGTATTTGATCGATTGATTTACTCGAGGGTTGATTCAATGCTTTGTATCGATTGAGAACCTCATTCGATAGAGGGAGTCTAGTTCAGAACGCCTTGATCGGTTGTTCTAGAGAAGGGAAAAATACTCTACTAGGAATTTTCCTAGCCTTGTATTTAATGTGAATTTTTAATTCCCAATGTAATTAATACAAAATAAAATAATTAATATATTCTTTTTTTTTTTTGGTCATGCCCAAAATGCTCTTAGTTGCCAATCTGACAACCGCCAAGAAAGTTGTCACCATATCCGCTCCCATATCCATTGGGTTATATATCCCATATTATTTTTACATACTTAATGCGACATTATGAGCTATTTACATCCATACATACATTGATCATGATAATTCTCTTCATAGCTCACTAGCTCACATTCAAGTACATTGATGATAGAAATTGGAATCGTACAAATGTAGAGGATGTATAAGATTAAGAACCCCTCTCCTGTTATATTGCGTCTTTTCCTCCTCTATGCTCTTTTCTTGCATTTGTTTATCTTTCCCTTATTTATTTTTCATTTTTAATGGAAGGTCAATAAAGTTATATTAATTCGCCCATTTTGTCTGACAGTTGACAAACCAGTATTATCATTACAGCAAAAAGGGTACCAAGCGTGGATCTGTGCGGCGTGGAAGAGCAGTTCGAGCTCCCAGACCTCTGCACCCAGCACCTGCCTGCAATAACATCACCATCCCAATGCATAGAGAGCGATTACACGTTTGCATCGATTAACAACATTAGAATCATATGACAATGATTCCTTTTTCTTACGGGAGAAGAAAAGATCTTCCTTTTTTCCTTTATATTTCCTCATGGATTGATTTTGACCAAGAGCAGAAGTAAACTCAGAACTCACCACTTGAGCAGCAAAGGGCAACATTCGCTCCGGTGGCATGTTGGCGCAGATGGCTAAATTTTAAAAGAAAAAATAAGAGGATCAGTGAATTTTCATGTACTTCAAGAGTTCCCAACATTATTCAGTCAAGAAAGATGCATGAAAAGATGGGCTCGAAGGCTTGAGAGTTGAGACTGATGGCGACACCGTTGATCAGAAAAAGGTAGAGATAATGAACACGCAAGGCATTCGAGATTTAGTAGGGATGCAATCATGCAATGAAGCTAACTCGTTCGACAATCAGCTCTATATTAATCAACTGGCACATGAACCGAGCACAATCCAAAGTTTGTTTGGCTTGCTAGACTTGTGAGCTAACTCGGTTAGTCATTTCATTGAGCCAGGCTCACAAGCTAGCTTCATTGAAGCTAGCAAGTCAGCTTGACTGTGGGGTTCACAAGCCAACTCAACTAATTGCTCAGTATATAGCTCCTGGACTAGCTTACTAACAAAGGTCATAGGTTGTTACACTATATATCTTTCAAAGAAACATAAAAACAAAAGTAAAAGAAAGATAAAGAAAAAGAAAAACAAGAATAAAATTTGTTAACATGAATCTATCAGTTTCACAAAAAGCTAAACGACTTAGAGGGGTTTGCTTTGGGACCGAAAAAGCTTGCAAGCATGTGTTTACACTTTACATTAGAAACCCATGTATATGCACTGTTACTAGATTGCTGCAAATGGAGCATGAAACATGACCCGAAGAATGCAGGCAGGGTGTGAATACTAACCAAGAGGAAAACACATGCTTGGAGACAGACACGTACCATAAAGTACCGATCCAATAAACGCATCCCCAGCACCAGTTGTATCAAGAAGTTCAGCTGGCGGTATCTTTTCAGCAGTCCCCACAAACAATCTGCCGCTGATGGTGCCGATTCCTTTTGCTCTTATCCTAGTCAGCGGCTGACATCCAACAATAACAATATTGATCTTATAACGAGACAGAGAACATTTATTGTCTAAAAGTGGAAGCCTGGAAGGTGCTCCAATTCACAAATCAGCAAGCAACAATAGTCCCGTTGTATTAACTTGGTTCACTATCAAATTAGCAACACAAACGTAATGTGTTACCAGCAGAGCAGACATTAGACACAAACAAATTCAAACACGAATAGCATTTCCAAGTGTTAGATGTGCTCTGTATTGCGTCTACGATCTCGCTAAAATGTCACATAATTAGCATGGTCTGCAGTTTATTATTGTTTGGGAAGATGTTGCATAAGCCCATTGGTGCTTTGCTATTCGATCGCGTACGTGTATAAATATGCCGCATTGCCAGTAGTTAAGTTCAAGTAGCATTAATCAGCAAGAAGACTGTCATAATAAATGGCAACATCAGAGGATGACGGGCTTTTATAGTTATGAATAGTCATTGAAACCATATCACAACTTCGTCTATGAACGCATTTGGACAATGCAAGCAGCTACTTTAATGTCCTCATAGGTGCGAACTAAGAAGCCATTCAAATTTAATCAACGAGCATTCCCATTGTGTCCTCACCATCTCATTGTCTCTTCTATCAAGATCCGGTTTCAATACTGCCTTCAATTGAATGACTCAGGATTATGAAGTGACGACTGTTTACGGGCTTTGACAGGGACCCAGGCAAAAAAACTAAGAACATGGGACATCTTCCCTGTGCCCTCACTAATTTCAGTGATCAACTATCTACAATGATCATAATACATAGCTCAGGTTGCTGGTTGCACCACCCATGATTATGAAGTGAAGACCAGTTACGGGCTTTGACAGGGATCCAGGCAAAAAGACAAAATGTGTGGGACATCTGCCCTGTGCCCACACTAATTCCTAAGATCAATTATCTACAATGATAATATAACAGAGCTCAGGATGCACATACCGAAGAAATACACGTTGGTATGACTGTTCCAACATTCTTTCGGTGTTCCAGTGACTGCAGTAACCTATCTACATCAATCTCTTCAGATAAAGAAACCTCTACACAAGAAAACATTAGAAGAGTGAGAAAAATCCTGTCATGAATTAAATAAGAACAGCACCTTTTACTACTGACTAGTTTCTGGGCTAATTTTTTTAAGTCAAGTATTGCTCCCACGTTTCAATTACAGCAGCTAATCCTACACTCACCATCTGACCATCTTTCAAGCATTATGCATCCATCTTCACCCAGGGTTACAATAACAAATTTTAGCTTAGGGAGTCTTAAAAGCATAGCAACAAGGGCACTTGGAATGGTTGCTGCCTCAGTCCATGCCTGTCAGGTAAGCAATCTTATGTTAAACAAAACTGCCCATAATGTTCACTTTATTGCCATTTTTTTCTGGCAAGTCATTTTCTGAAGTATTGAGCAAAGGGAATCAAGGTTCGAACAAACCAATTGCTTACCTGAGGGAATTTGGCTGAGCATACAACATAAGTAGCCAAGTTAACAAGGTCATCTAGCCCTTCTCTTTTCTTTTCTGCATCAATCAGAATAGGTATGTTCTTGCGAGTTGCCTGTACTGGAAATACCAAATTAATGATTTAATTGGTTATATCACAAAGCTGAAACATGAACATGCATCATAAAAAAAAAAAGTAAGAATAACAGGGGGAAGAAACACCATAGGTAATGATGATAGATTAAACTCAAGTACTAAGGTTCCCATTACAGGCTCCTTGGCTCGGAACAAATACTATACAAACAAAGCACATGGATTTCCAAATAAATCAATGAGGTGACCAAGAAAAGAATAGGGGAAGTAACAAACATTCAGTTATTCCTGAAATTTAGGAATCAATTATATCTCGACTCCTGGAAGACTATTTCTTTTTCCTCTTGCAAACCCTAAAGTAAAAAAGAAGAAAAGGAAGTCGAGCTATTCAGGAAGCACCTTATCAAGAACCGGGTATGTATACAGGAGGAGCCAATTCTTCGTTATGTAGAAACTCAGCATTTGCCATTTTGGCCAAGAAGTACAGTTGCAAATCCAGCTTAAAGTCATAGGGGATTAAGCATTTAATGGTGGAAAAAACAGGTTATTAAACTGTCAAATGTAGAAAGTCAGAGAGGGAAACATGTATCAGTCCTACGAAAAGAAAGAAAGAAAGAAAGAGGGGAAGGGAGAGGAGGGGAGCACTAAGACCCATCAAATAGACCAGTGGGATACTGATAACTATTACCTCTTGTGCAATAACTAAAGCAGTCTCATGCAACCTCCCATCAAAATAGACCAGCGTAGCTCCGTTTAATGCTGAAGATATACTGGATTGAGAAAGATCGTCCGGTATCATGGGGGGGTATCCCGGAGTATGAATGCAGGTTCGAGTTTTCCTGAGGATATCAATTATGATGTTCAATCAGTACAATGTAGTGTTGATTCCAGAATATAAATTCAATCCTTCTGTTTCTACCATGATACCCATCATCCGTAAACGTCCAAATGAAACAGACTCACAAAGGATAAAGAACAACAAGCTTGCAAGCAACAACCCACCATATCCCCCCCCCCCCCTCTCCAAACATTCTCCTTTCTCAATGCTAGGGATGAAAACAAGGACATCATGCCCTTTTATTTTCTGGAAGAAAGTACATAGGTGACAAAAGAACTGCCTTACAGAAATTTATGACCCATGTTGCCCTGAAGATCTGAGATGAAATGTATAAAATCCTTAAACTAATAAACCAAGAAGGGAGATTCTTGAGCGATGATGCAGCAGCAACTCACATTTGTTCGTCAACGATTACATACGTGAAGGGTGAATTGCCTTCTTTGGCGACCTGAACATGACGGATTATCAGTCAAGACATAATAGGCAACGTAAAGCAGGGCAGAGACCGTGCACACTGCCACAACTAAACAGTAGAAGAGCATGGTAATACAGCAGCAGCAGAAGAAAAAGGAAAGGATCACAACTACAGGAAACCAGTAGATAAATTAGCATGACAAGGAATGTGAACACAAAACCAATTCAGCTAGCAAGTCGATAATTGAATTTAAGTTTTAGTCAAATAAAACAAGAATGAACTCTGAGAGTAGTAGTGGATGAAAAACTTACAACAAAGAAAGAAGTGTCGACACCATCGGCCTGCAGTTCCGTCAAAACCCCCCTACCTTGACTGTCATCAGCAACCTAATTTCAAAATCAATTCACCCAATCCAATGGCCCGGTCCCAGTCCACAAGTTAGTGAATGAACTTCATTGTCATTGCAGTAAATAGACAACATAAACAGATAGCTGGAATTTCAAGAACCTTAGAGATGAGCCTGGGATTTAAACCCAAACGAGCTGCACAGGTGAGGGCATTGCCAGCATTTCCGCCGCCCTGGACCTGACGCCAATCATCACAATCGGAAGCAAATAAGGAAAAGATGGGAGAAAGAAGAGGAAGGAAATCCGGTGGCCGACTAGAATGATGGTGAACCTTAAGACTAGTGGTCCTGATTTTGTCGTCCGGGTTTGGAAAAGCAGCAACTGCCGCCAAAAAGTCCACGACGGCGGCTCCGCAGCCTAGCTGTCGAATATCAATCCACAATCAGTAATAAGGATACAAGTTGATTTTAACATCCCCACCTGAAGAAGGGGGCTGCTTTAAATCAAGAGAAAGCGAGCGAGAGAGAGGAAAACGGACGACGACGCGGTTCTCGGGGACGGAAGGAAGCGGGTGAGATTCCGACGAAGACATTTTGACTCTGAAACTGAGAATGAGGTTGCGCGGTGAGAGAGGGACGAGCTTCCAATTTAGCCGCAGAAAATGGGACTGAGTAAAATGTTAATGAAGAAATAAGAGGAAAGGAAGGGACCAGGTGGTTTTGGAGATACCTTGAGGACGACGAAGAAGAAGAAGAAGAAGAAGAAGGGAAGCGTTGGAGAGAAGCGGCGGAATTGCCATTGGCAGTGACGGAGGTGGCGGAGGAGGAGAATGACAGCAGCATTCTCTCTCGTCCCTTCTCTTTTTCGTCGTTTCGTGGGATTGCGCGAACTCACTGTTCACAGCAAACAAAAAAGACTGCACAGCTGCTCTCGTACAGCACTACTAAGGATAGGATTTGGGTTTTGGCGTTTGGATGGTTCTCTGCAATTCCGCTATTTAGATTGAATCATTGAAAGCTAGCTTTTCTGTATGTGGGCCGCAGATTTGGCGGAAAAATGAGAAGGAAGATCAGAACCTGGCAGTGAATAGGTGTCAATCGGGCGGGTTCGGGCTGGGTTCAAACGGGTTGCGGGTTCAGTCGGGTTGCGGGTTCAGTCGGGTTTGGGTTCATCGGGTTCGGGTTCAAACGGGTTGCGGGTTCATCGGGTTGCGAGTTCATCGGGTTCGGGTTTTTCGGGTTGCGGGCAAATCGGGTCATGGGTTCATCGGTTTTTGGGTCGGGCGGGTTGCGGGCGGATCGGTTTCGGGTTGCTCGGGCCAGCGCATCGAGTAACTTACTCATTGCTCGTTACTAACTTACACATTTTATTACACTAATTGAAAATATTTTTCTCAACTTTTTAACCAATTTATTTCTACTCGTATAATATATACATAATTATTTTTGAAAAAAACTACTCAAAATGTTAAATCAATTTGTATGACTTGCAAACTTGTTATGTAATTAATCATAATTAGTAAAGTACACTAGCTAATAGTAATGGTGATATCAATATTTGCAACCAAAAGACACCATTAATTGTTTATTTGATATTTTAGTATTATTTCAGTAGTAATTGGATTAAAGTATCTCGTTTAGTATAACCATGCAAATCTGGTATTTGGTTTGTGGTATTTGGCAAAAGCAAAGTGATATTTGCTAATTGCTATACCTAGCGCTGCAAATGAGCCAGGCCGCTCACGAACAGCTCGGTGCTCGGCTCGAGAAATATTCATTCGATACTCGGCTCGTTTCTTAATGAGCTGACTCGTTAGCTCGCTCGTTTACTAATGAGTCGAACATGAGTTAGGTCCAGCTCAACTCTTCAGACTCGCAAGCTAGCTCGGCTCGATGGCTCGTTGAGCCTAGCTCGCGAGCTAAGCCGATAACGTGACTCACGAGATATATTGACGAGCCAACACAATTAGCTAGTGGGATAATTTACTAATGATTAATGGGATGATTAATGTAGTATTTGAGTCATATTAGGTTAGTCTATTAGGGTTTTCGAGTCTTTCGTTATAAATATGTACTCTTGGTCTTTTGTTCAATTAAGCAGAAATCAGTAAAACAATTATCTCCCAAAACCCTATTATGTTCTCTCTCAACCTCGTCTGTCTTTTTTACTCAAAGGCCTCGGCCGTTCTTCTCCAAATCCTCAATTCTTCTCCTATTCCCTAATTTCTATTCTCAATCTCTAAATTCTCAATTCCCGATAGAACCCTAATCTTAGGTTCTATCATATATCATATATGATATTAACTAACTACTTAAATGTTTGCAATATACAAACCACATAATTACTATATTGAAATTGTGCATATAAAATACAAACGTGCATAGCCTATATGTGTGAATAACCTAAGTTACTTGCTAATTAATTGATTGATTTCTGATTGTGCATATAATTACTTACTAATTAATTGGTTTCTAGTTCATAATTCCAATCATGCCACTTAGTGGTGAAAAGTATAAGAGGAAGTAGACATGGATCGGAAAACCTCGAAGAGAGCTGGTTTCCTTTTCCCCTTTATTTTTGTCGTTAGCCACAGTAATTAGCAGAGTGTTTACCCTAAGCCTCCCACACTTAATGTTATTGGATTGCAGTAGAACTTGAAACTAACTCTAGCCTCTAGCAGTAGAAGTAAATAAAGGGAACAACAGATATGTTACGTTGGTTGTTGGCAGCTTGGGTATTTCTTCCTTCTCTGCCATGTTTCGAAACATCTTCAGTGCTTGCCTCTGTTGTCTTCAACTTGTTGCTGCTGCTATGAAGTAATTAATTGGTTTATGGCTGTTGTGAAGTGTGAACTAATGAATTGTTGTAGGATTGGTAATTTTTCATATGGTGCTTATCAGGGGAAAACTATGATGCTGCTGTGAATGGATTATGAGAAAAGCAAAATTCAATGGGGTTGCAGCAGCTAGCATAAATGCACATCAAATCTCTAATATCCCGTTTCCTTCACTTAAAGAATAGAAATTGTAGCATTCATTCGTCAACCCTTCCAATGGAGGGTTTTGGATTCAGCGATGCAAGCAGTGCGGTGATGTAGAAGAAGAGCCGAGCAATACATTAGTTTCTATTCTACCACATCAACAAATAAAGAAAGCACGCATATTCATTCACCTATATATTAGTAGTGGCTTCCTTTGAGAAACCCAAATCCATAATTGGTCTTTCTAGTGGCTCTACTCTATCGGAGTGGGCCACGAGTATGGACTTATTAGGGTCAGATAAAGGCTCTCCTCTTTGAGGTTTTTATCGAGTTTCGGGTTGACAAGGCCCGTGACGATAGTGAGTTTGTTCGATGAGCCTTTCGTTTGATTTGGCTTGTTGATCTAGCTATCAACCCCTTGTCGAGTTTTGTTCGAGTCGAGCTCGAGTTGGGTAATACTGAGGTCGAGCCGAGCTCAAGCTTGGTTGTTACTAGCTTTTTAAATATAAAGTGAGTTTCATATTTTTTTTAAATTCCCTATATGAAATGAAAACATAATTTTACTTAAGTTTAGAATGAAATACTTTATTTTGAAAAACTATGTATTGTATATTATAATAATTATTCAAGTGGATTAGGTGAAGTTCGGGTTGAGTTGGTCGGGTTACGGGTTAGTCAGGTTCGGGTTAATTGGGTTCGGGTTAATCGGGTTGCGGGTCGGTCGGGTTGCGGGTCAATCGGGTTTTGGGTTAGTTGGGTTGCGGGTCAATCGGGGTGCGGGTCGGGCAGGTTACGTGTTGTTGACTTTTAGTCAATTCGGGTTGCGGTCGGGTTACGGGTTGGGTTGATCGGGCGGGTTAATCGGATCAGGCTATGTTTTGACACCTATAAGTGAAACTATCGACATATCTGTATAACTGGTGTGATTTGAAAATTCTGATAAAATGAGTAGAATGACGGATTTGTTGGTCGATCTAATCAATATACAATTATTTTTTTGTCAAAAAAAATTGATACATTTCTGACTTCTGAAAAATCAAGACGATTGCTACTCGGTTCTCACCTCTCTGAACAATGTACGAATAAAGGTGTTTGAGTTTTTGGGAATCTACATTAGATTTAATCATATGGAGATTTCCTGTGGAGAGCTCCGGGTGTACGTAGGCATCAGGCCGTGCCGCTCACGGGCTAGCACGACACGACACGGTTAGAGCACGGGCACGGAATATATGGGCCAGCTCGGCACGAGCACGAATCATTTATGGACCGTGACGGACCTAAACTTCATGGACACGGGCACGAGCACGGGCACGACACGGTATATAAGTGGGTTGTGTCGGGCCTAATATTTTCGAGACTTTATTAAGTATAAGAACGGACATGGCAAGAAAATAATATTTATTTGATAGAAAATAAATATAAAAAGAATTATAGGTTCAAATATTACAAACACATGCATAAAAATAATTATTTGTTATTAGAAGTGTCATCAAGATATATATGTAATTACCAACATAAGTAAAAATGGACAAAGAATTAAACAAAGCCAAATCACACTCGCTATACTTACAATTTTCTTATCCCCCTTATTTGTTACTTTTCTCAAACATTATCGGTTAATATGATCTTTCCTCGTCCAATTTTCGCCTTATTTTTCATTCTGTCTTTTGTTTTCGTCCTTTTCATTAAACACGAATACGAGCATGGCACGAGCACGAATAGGCACGACACGATTCGAACCGTGCCCGGGCCTGGGCCGGGCCTAGCAAAGTTGAAAAAATGGGCTTGCATGGCACGACACGAAAAATGATGGGTCGTGCCAAGCACAACACGAAATAAATGGGCTCGAAGCGTGCCCGTGCCGTGCCGGCCCAAGCACGGCCCAACGCCCATGTACAGCTCCGGGACTACGCTACGACTACAACTATGAAGATCCTCTATGAAGGGGAGCTTCGCAAAGGAGTTACAGAGAAAAAAGCGTAAAGTTTAACGGATATTTTTCTTCGTTGATTTGGTTGTCCCCCCCTCCCCCTCCCCCTCTCTCTCTCATCTGTCTTCTCATCTTTTATCTCAAACATCCTCGTGGCAGTCGTAAAACCGCCTTGCATTTGCCTTCCAATCCACAACCATCCTAGCTCGTCTTTCTGCTTCGCGTGAAACTTATGTGCAAGAAAAATAACTCCAATATTTTCATGAACCCGCGACATTGTTCTTGACTCCACGGCTCCACCAACAAAGTTGCATAACGACACTATTGCAACCTCGTTGTTGCTAGGATTGAAACGTAAATGCTATTGACAAAATAAAATCGTCGTTTTACCCAACATTGTAGGATTTACAAGGTCACTGAGCTCTCGACTTTGTCAAACTTGCGGCGTCATTGGAATTGCGACACCGTTGAACCTCGCGGCATTGTTGAACACACAAGCTTGTGGACTCTTCACGCTCACGACATTGTTAAATTTTGACATGCTCTCTTGCAACCTTGTTTTTAATTAAACAACGACTGTGACGACATATCAACCTCGTTGAATTCGTGTCATCGTTGAGCTTACAATCTCGCGACACCATTAATCTCGTAATACCAATGCCACGTACCTTGTGTTCTCGAAACAATGACCTACTCGGTGCTCGCACACACTTTAAACAATGGCCCGCCCCACGGCTTTGTTCTCTACTAAACAACTTAGTTTTCTAGTCCCACGCCATTGAGCTTCGCGAGATCATTAAATTCATGGCACACACATTAATGGCCTCGCAGCACCGATTGACTAACGATGTCGCTCGCGTCATTGTCAATGCTGCGGTTGACCTGGCGATGTTGTTGAACTCGCAAGGTAGTTGAACTTACAACGTCGTTGA